GGCAAAGCGACCACAGGCATCTTGTGGCATCCACAAGAACGGCGTCGTGGAGTCGACGATGGCCAGCGACGAAGCCGGGTCCGTCACATTTGTAAGAAGCGCAGTTGAACTGTTACCCGGGACATTCTGCGCCCATGACGAAGCCGCAACCGACGAATTGGATGGCGGTGCATTGGCCGTGATGCTGCGCAAAACGAGCTCCGGCTGGTAGTGAACAGGGTTGAGGTTGAATGTGATCGGTTTGGTGTTGTCTTTGGACGAGCGGTTGAACGCAATACGGCTCATGTCATAGCCTCCCAGTGTCAGCGATGCCGGCACGCCATGCTCGCCTCGGTATGATGCACCCGCCGTGTAGCCATAGCTGTGGCTAGGAATTGAACCCATAGACTCTGCGAGTTGCCGAATGAGTGGACTAATGGGACGATTGTTGAAGCTGCCGTCGAGCCCTCCAACACCAATAAAGCCGTTGTAGAACGTGGTGTCATTGAAGCCACCGACTAGACTCCGATCAACTTGAAGTTGGGTAGGAGGTGCAGGGGCAGGCAATGGTCCATCGGAAGATCGAGGCTCAAAAGAAAAGTATGAGCGGTCCTGAGATGACCGAGATGTGTCAACAAGAGGGAACGTAATAGTTGCTAGGCCATAGTCGAGGTTAGGTGCCATCAAGCTGGGTTCTTCGAGCCCGGATGCAAATGCACCCAGAGGCTGCCATGAGTTGACTCCATTAGCAGCAGCCGACTCGATGCTGAAGACGCCACCACGGCTCTCTCTACACGCTGGCAGCTGCACACAACCGGTCGTTTCAACGACCCAGGATTCAGAAAGGGCGGTGCTGACGAGCAGTGAAACATTTTGCGACTGTGAGACAGGTCCGCCGCTGACAGAAATCTCAAATGACGACCATAAGCCATCAATTCCAATCCTAGCAGTGTCAGAATGAAAAGGGTTAGTGGGCAGTGTGAAAACAGGCCTACCATTCTCTACTGGGCCGGATGCCGATGGCAGAAGGCTTCGGCTCGGGAGTGTTGGAGTAGCTGTCTGCTGTTGCGATGCCAGCTGTTGCCAAAATAAGAAGTTGCAACTGAAAGGCGAGGGTGACAGACGACAGATGGGAGTGCACAATGAGAAATGGTCGCGAAGGGATCGCCATGGTCGGGAACATGCTTTTGTGTACCCTGATGAAGGTCACTGACGTTAGTGTTGAATTGACGTTTTGCACTCAGATTGAACGCGTTCTCTGCAGCCACGTCTCTGCGCGGTCCATGATGGCCGATGAGGCGCTGCAGTAGGCCGTAGTTTCGCTGCGGCTTGGGTGCGGAGTTTGTGTGAAGCTCTAGATGCGTCTTGCTAAAGGCAACTAAGGTATGCCGTATGTTCGTGACACAGCGCTCAAAAGTAAACAAACGCGGAGAGGGCTAGTTTGCACACAAGTTCGAAAGATTTCGGGTTGATGAGCAAGTCTGCACAAAAGACACAGACACGCACCGACAGTCGAAGACTTGAAAAAGGGCGGACGATTTCCGATTCTCCATCCCCCTCCATTGCGCATTGTCGCTTCCTCATGCCTGTTATTCATCTCACACTGTTAATTTAGCAATCATTGGCCAGCAGAGGTGGTCAATGTCGGTGGCTGTCTTTCGGTGGCCAGGCAAATAGAGACACACGGCCCAAATCCGATCTTAACAAGCCGCGGTTGGACTATCGAACCGCTTCCATTGCCGTTCAGCAATCACTGTCATGGCCGATCGGGCAAAGACAGGACGTTTATTCAAGAGAACGCCATCCCCTCTACTGGTTCTGCACCGCCATCAGAACCGGCATACCTGTTGCAGGCCAACTTGACGCTTTATGAGCAAGCGTAAGAGCGATTCCCTGTTGGTGACATAGCTGCCACTGCTTGTTGTTTTGTACCATCGCCGAGAAACAAATACTCGGGTGAGGTATGGGACTGTGGCGATTTGGGCGGTGCAGTTAATTCTCCAGCGATGTTTGGTGACTACATGCCTATGCAAACTGCGGTTGATTAACATGCCACCGTCCGGAGGCCGATATGGTTGCTGTACAATTTGGAGGCACTTTGGATAAAATCGTGAAGGTGGTTGTTTTGAGCAAATGGGCATTGCGAGGCCTGAGTTTTGCCGGGAAGAGCGGAATGGAGTGAGGGGGGAAGGAAGCTCGGTGGAGGATATTTAATAAAGAAGCGGCAAGACGTAGAGACACTAGCATGAGGAAGGTGTGACCGAGGAATGAGGAATAAAGGAAAGGGCAGTTAGCCACAGAAACTGTGCCGCACCCTAAGAAAGGAAGGAGCATTTGGTAAACAGAACAGTTGTGGTTACAGAGTAGCGAGAGCCCGTTGCAAAACTTCCCGAAGGGGAAAGACATGTGGCAGCTTGAGATGGACAAGACTTTAACGAAATACACTTTCCTGTTTTGCGTCGTATAAATGGCATGATAAACCAGGCACTTCTTTACATGAGATCAGCGTCGAACAAGAAATGCCCACTGCGCAAGATGCTCGAAGGGGGAGGTCAGAGAAGCATTTGTAACGGAAGTCGAAAGTCGATACACCTTGCAACGCCACCCTACATATCTGCTCGTTTACCTTTCCCATCTCGACGTTTATTTGCCTCATAAAAATATCTCAGCTCTGGTGGTTTCTTGGTTTCCATACGCGCCAAAAACCAAATTGCAAATATAAGAGTTGAAATAGGACGGACTGTTTTCGACGTAGACAAGAGAGAGGAAAATGTCAGTCGATTGTTTTCAGTACGTGATCGAGCGTGGAAGGCCATAATCCCATAGAATCTACGTCCTGGTCACTAAAATACAACAAATGTCTTAATTTGATTATTGGGCGACTGCTTGTGGCATATAAATCATTTCTCCCTGTTCTAGCGATTGCCATATCAGGTTTTTCCTCCGATTTGCACAACTTCAGCCGGCCTCTGTTTATCCATAATTATGACAAAGCTACTCGGTCCTTATGTGCAGGCTACTGGCTGTTTGTTCCCATTATGTATGGGGTATATCATACTGTTCTCCATATTCTAACAACAATTCCACTTTTCCGTCTCCCCATCTTGCCCCAGACTGGTCAGGTCCCAGCCATCAGTCTTTGCTCCCATTCATCCCACCTTTCTCCGGTTATTCGGGAGAAGTGGCTCAACTGAGCCACTTCCGCATCAATATAGTTGTTGGCTTCTCGACTGTCGCTTACGTCGCGTCTCTCATATTGTCCCACGTTCTGTCGACCCTGTTCCCTCCCATATTCGGCTCCAGTCGTCCATTACAGCATTCCAAACCCAACGAACCCAGCTTCGGCGTTCCACCGCTCTGTCCCCGTCTGTGCATTCACATCGTTTTCTCACTTCACCGTGTTCTTGGTAATTTACTCACGGGATTTCTTGTGTCCGTGTTCTCTTTGCCCCATACTTTCATCTGTTGTTACATATTGCCACTGTTGGGGGCTAAAAGAAGGCTGCCGAGTTAAGAGAAGTTCATGGCATTTTCAAACCAGGCTGGTACAACCACCATATGGCTCTCTCCCCGTTACGGTTGTCCCTGGAATTATCTTTCTTTTACCATAAATGAAAAGACTAACTGAATAACCAATTTTTTTTGAAAAAAAAAAAGTCGATGTCCAACAAATTGCAAGGAGAGAGACGACATCCCGACTATCAGATAAAATTCGAAAAAAGACTAGTACTCCAAAATTATCAAATTATCAATGAGGGAGCTAGGTCTCTTTTTCGTATGTGAAAGCAATTCTCTTATGTTTCTCTGGGATTTGTTGGAAAGCCTTGGTAAAAGCTGGGAAACGTCTAGTTTAGAATATCAAGAGTTCTAATCTACTTCCTTTTGCTTTTTGCATACTTTAACAAATAGGCTGTGTTGTAAATTCAAGAAAAAATAATACATCTATTGGTACCAATAAAGGAAACGAAAAGAAAAACAAACGCGTTATTCCACATGACACAGGTTTCGATCACATTAGGAGCTACCAGCAAAGACACAGAGTATGGATAACAAATTCCACATACAACAACCCAAATTAATTGCTCGTTTCTTGTATTGTAGCCGACCAGTCACCAGTACGGCCTTTGTTTCTCCGGCCCAAAGACCCCTTGATTCAACAGGTATGAATAAGGGGGGAAGCCAAAAAGCGCCGCTCTGGATAAAGTCAATTATTGCCTTTAACAGCCCAGTCTGGTACGTTCCTGTCTCCCTATCGTGCCTTTTCCGTGCCTATTCTCCTTGTCTTCCCCGTATCTCCTCCCATACAAGTCAATACAGCGAATGGGCCGGAGCCTGCCATCTGGGCATTGTTCCATCGGCGGTGTTGTTTGTCCGTTGTTTGCGTCCTTATTTTTACTCGTGTTCTGAACATTTCACTTTTGTTTCTTTACTTGACGTATTCTGTCTGTTGGAAGTGCCACATGTTTCTTGGTTGCTGTTTCTTCTTTCGTATTTCCTCTCTGACGGTCTTGCCTCGTCTGCTTCCATCCCATCGCACCTTCCCAACAGCAACGACTACGAACAACAATCACGTCGACATCTCCACCGCTCCTACCCGTTTAAGCCACCAACTCCTTCGCTCCTTCGTGCCTTACACTACAGCACATACGCCATCATATTTCTATTCGCTTCGCCCCCAACATTTTTCTTCTTGTTTTTCCTACTGTAATATCAGCTGCAGTTCTTCACGTTCTCGTCTCTTCGTCTCCGATTTACGATCATTCCTGACGCACGACTACCATTTGCATCTAGGAAACTTTTGAAAGTGAGAAGACTTCAAAGAAACACGTCTTGGCAACTAGAATAGGTGTGATGGCTTGCGCCTCCTGATGAAGAGGGTCTGCCGACTTTACTCGTGACACAGAGTTCGGCAAATCAACACAAGATAAATCACAACGACAAAAACAACAACAACAACGATCGATAACGCAAGACAAATACCGGACACAGCACATCCAGCAACTAAACCACCAATTTTCACCATGATCACCTCACGGAACTCTTTCGTGTTGCTGGCGGCACTCGTCCACTTTGTTTTCATAGGTGTCGAGGCACAGGTTCAAGAACGAAGCCATGGCGACGGTCGTCGCCACGGCCAGCATAGCCAGCATGCATCTGTTATTCCCTCTCTGGTTGTAAGATCAGATGAGTCCACGCCAGCAGTTCCCTTGTCACTGGTACCGTCATCAGTATCATCGTCATTGGAAAAGGTTTCCGTACAGGAAGGATACAGCACGGTCTCTCTGGATACGGCTACCAAACACACAAGCAACACCAATGCGGTGACGCAAGAAATTGCCGTTGGGAGTGACACGCCCAATATTGTCGACAGTGCTACCGGTAAACCAACAACTATACTTTCTCCGCAAGACTTTCCACCCATGGACAAAAGCCCGGTGGACGAGCCAGAAGAAACAGCGCCGACCATCTTGGAAGCACATCCATCACTTCTTGACAGCACCGCAGCTCTTGAAACCAGTGGACACGGCAAGGACCCATCATCTGGCACTGGAGTTAAAAATCAAGGGGCCATAGACCAGTCCGAATCTGTCGCGGACCCAAAATTGCACTCGACCTCAAATGACGATTCGGGGACGTTGCGTGTCACTGCTGTATCGGCCCTAACTATACCTTCATCGACTATTGTGCCGCCTCTGGCACCACCCAGTACCACTGCTCCGCCCGGTGCCGCACCTGCACTCGGCAGCAACAGCATCGCCACTGCAACCATCAACTCGATCTCATATGGCGGCCCAATGTCGTCGCAACTCAGATATTTGAACGTTTCATCAGGACCGACCACCCTGCCTGCCACCTCCCTTTCAACAACACTGCCGCTCGAAATACTATTTGGAAACATATCCATACCACCGGATCGAAAGTGGACAACCCAGATCCCAGGAAATGTCACTGTGGTTAGCACAGCCTCTCCTGGACACCCGGTATGCCATGCAAGCTTCTGTAATGGTATTGTCCTTACAACAAATACGAGTACTTGCACGCCGAACAACTACAGCGCTGCCAGCTTCGGCATCATGTCTGCGGATGGGTACCTTGTGAAGCACGTCATCGTAACAACAACGCTCAAAGGCTTGACGACGACACTGAGCTCAACGACGTTTACGAGCACCGTTACGTGCTTCGACGATACGAGTTGCAACATGCTCGCAATATCACTAGCATCGGATTTCAGAGTCGACTCGGTTGGTTTGGCGACGCAAACAAACACACGCACCGTCACTGGCACTACAATCCTTACGTCGTACGGCAAGGTATCGCGGACACGGCATTCCTCGGCCTCGCCCGCGCCGTACGCTTTTGCTGCCGGTGCATCAGCGGTGCCGCAACTTCCTCTTGGTTCGACCGTTGTGAACGGCACGTTCAACACCTGCTTGCTGCCACCCGGAGCGATTGCGACCATTATCCATTGCTGGGGCCCGGGTGCTAAGCCTCTGCAATACACTTGTTCTGAGCAACCCATAGACGGAGCCCCTCAGGAGGTGACGGACATCGCGGAAGTTATAACGGCATGCACTGTTATCACCACGATGAAGGGCCCCACGCTCGTTCGGGCTACGTCAACATTGCCCAACTACGATTTTCCCGGTCCCACACAAGACACCCATTTCCCTCCTAATCCGAACAAGTCCAATTTTGTTTCTGCTCCAAGCGGTCCCCAGGCACCGGGCGGCAATCGAGACACTGGCATCGGAGCACCAGTGGAAACGGGTGTCCCTGGCCAGACATGGGTTGGCACCACTACCGTCCCCATAGCCATTCTGCCAACGGGTGTTGTGATTGGGTCTAGCACGATCACGGATGACCCGAATAATTCGCAGTATACGACTGTAGTTACCATCGGGGGCATTCCGTATACCATCACGCCGGACCAGATTGCAGCAATGGGCTCAGCAGTCCAGCGGCCGTCATGGTCAAATAACTACATCTCTGGTCACGGCCCCGACCAGTATGTGTGGGAGAACTTTGGCGACAACATTGTGTACGCGGCAGCGCCTGCTTCGGGCGTCCTGGGTACAATGTCAGTGCAAGTTAGCGGAAACAGCATTGTGGTGGACGGCACGTCATTTTCTATTCCAGCACAGCCCAGCGTAGGCGTGGTTCATGGCGAAACAGTGCACCTTGGCCCTGATGGAGTCGTTGCCGGCGGGCAGACACTGAGCGTGTCGCCCGTGGTTATGTCGGCCGGCGCTGGTGGCGGTGGGCACTCTGAAGTTGTTGTGGCCGGTGGCACCGTCTTGACACTCGACGACACCAATGTTGTGGTTGAGGGCTACACGATCGCTTACAATGCTGTTGCTGGCGGGCTTGGAACCTCTTCTGTTCTCACAGTTGCCGGCGATACCGTCACCATTGTGCCGGGCCCGAGTAATGGAGCCGGTAGCCATGGTGGGCGTGGGGGTGCCTTTATCGTCATCCACGGTACCACATTCACGGCACCCGCTGCCGGTTCGACACATTATGAGTTGGTGGGCGGTGCCACATTTACCGAAGTCAGCCCGTCGGTCATTGTTCTCGATGGGCACTCATACACGATAGGCCCGGCCACGGTCGGGGCGAGTGGAGGTCTGGCTGCAGCTGTGGCAGCGTCTGGTGCCACCCCGACAACGGTGGTCATCCGCGGCGAGACATTGACCATTGGACCGGGCGGCGTCACGGTTGGCGGCACCGTCACATTCCGGTTTCCATTTGTGGCCACGCCGACGGTTACACTCACAGGCACTGCGACGATAACAAATGACGCCGCAATGAAGCCAGGCCCCGTGGGTGGTCTGCAGTCCGGTGCCACACCGACGCCGACCAGCGCGGCAGGCGGGAACTCGGCAGGCTTTGCATCGGCCGATAGCAACAATGGGGGCCCGGGCGCCGGGTCAAAGAACGCCTCGTCACGGACAATGGTGTCCGTTGCAGCAGTTGGTCTTTCTTTGGTCGTATCATTTGCGGCTGCGCTGTCGTCGTTGATCTATCTTTTTTGAATGTCCTTGGGAGGGAGCGGAGATTGGTTTCCTTGGTTTCTGATTTCTTTGCTTTTTTTTTTGCATTTGGCACCTAGCATAGCGACAGGCGTCGGGGTGGGTCATGGGTCAACTTTGTCCACGGACAAACATATGTACAGTCGTTTTCAGTTGGTGTTTTCATATTGTCACATAGTTGCGTCATACCTTGTGTTTTATTTTATTTTCATTTTCTATTAAATCCCCCTCACAGACCGGATCTGGAAACGCAGTCGTGGATTGAAAATTGTTGCCATAGGAGAGTGGATGTTTGGAGCACTGCATTTTGAAGAGAATGAGATATCAGGAGAGACAACATCACAAGCACTTCCGAAACATAGTATCATAATAAAATCAATACGTCACAAGATTATCTCTGTATAATGATTCTTCTGGTCGTTCCTGCCTCGTTGTTCATGTATTTCGTACGTCCCATGCTTCCACGTGACAGCGCTACGCACCTGCTCGGACGGACGCGCTAGAGGCCAATGGGCTGGCGTCGGTTGCCTGCCACTGAGCCGACCTCAAACATGGGCCTCATGATATGGTCGCCTGTTGATGCACACGTGTGAGGTCTCGGATCTAGGCCACTCGTCGATGTGAACGGAGAGTGTTCCTATTTGTCTTTTGATTTTGTCTCGCCCCTCATTTCCCTCTTTCTTCTCTATGTTCCTCTTTCCTGTCTACTATCATCACATTTCGTCTCCTAACAGTCTGCAAAATACAAGTTCACCTTAACCCTCCCCTCGCCATGGATCTCCCTATTGTCGACCTTGATCTGTTCCGGACGCTGCCCCGAGACGACCCCCGCGTGCTTGCCGAGTGCCGCCGCGCCGCGGACGCGCTCGTGGAGTTCGGTGCCCTGGTGCTGCACGACGAGCGCGTCGCCGAGGCCGACAACGATGCCTTTTTGGACCTGCTCGAGTCCTACTTTGCCCAGCCAGACGACGTCCTGCGCCAGGACGAGCGGCCGGCACTCGGCTACCAGGTCGGCGTCACGCTCGAGAACACGGAGACGCCCAAGTGTGCCGTCGACGAGCCGTGTCTCGACGTGATTGCGCGGCTGGCGCCGGCGGAGCGGCCGCTGGACATTGGCGGGCACCAGCCGGACCCCAAGTGCCGGTTCTTTTGGCGCATGGCCGAGGCGCCGCCGTACGACACGGCGTTTCCGGGGCTGAACGCGCCAAATGTGGTGCCGTCCACAGACGACGCGGCGATCCGGGAGCGATGGACGCCGGTGATGAACCAATGGGGCGCAGCCATGAAAGAAGCGTGAGTGATAGGAGGGGGAGAGACGTGGTAAGACACGGACGAGTACTGCGGAGTGCTAACACATTGCAGAGTCACGGGTGTGGCCGAAATGGCGGCCGTTGGGTTCGGCTTGCCTGCCGAGACGTTCAGTGACGCTGGTCGCTACGGGTAGGTATCTGACGTTCTGCCGGGCAACCGCCCCGTCAATTACCGTCCATCTCCTTATCTCCTTCCCTCCTCACCTGCTCACCTTCTCACACACAGGCCGCACCTCCTGGCGCCGACGGCGTCCAACCTCGACAAGTACGGCGCCCGCGACACCATCTTGGCCGGCTTCCACACCGACCTCAACTTCCTCACCATCCACGGCCGCTCGCGGTTTCCGGGACTGCACATCTGGGCCCGCAACACAGGCCGCCGCATCGCCGTGGCCATCCCCCCCGGTCGCCATCTGCTCGTCCAGGCCGGCAAGCAGCTCGAACACTTGTCCGGCGGCCTCGTCAAGGCCGGCTACCACGAGGTCGTCGTCAACGAGAAGACGCAGGCGGTCGTGGCCGCCCGCAAGGCCGCACAGCCCGACCGCCCGGCGATCCGCATCTCGTCGACCTTTTTCTGGCACCTGGCGTCCGACGTCGACCTGGCGCCGCTGCCGCTGCTCGCCGACAAGGCACGGGCGCTGCGGGCAGACAAGCTTGCGCAGGGTTTGGACGAGGGCGCGGCAGTGCAGTACGCGCCAATGAAGGTCGGCCAGCAGGTGCAAAAGTAAGTCAATCATGCGAGGAGGGGAATCCATTTCATGAGCCAGCGACACTGACAATCGTTGCTCTAGCGAACTCAAGCATATCGCTTTGATGACATGATGGGGAGGGCGGCTTCTTTTGGAGGATGAAGATGTGCCTATTTTTGTTTCGTTTGGATATTATGCTTTAGTGATTTTGTTTTTACCTCTCTGATTTACCTTTGCACGTCAAAGCAGGCAAAGCGCCGTGTGGTGGTCATCTAACGACGCCTGTGTCATGTTAGCGGCGATCGCATCCCATGACGACAACTGGCGACTGCACATTTCGCTGCATTTTATTGGCCCGCCCGTTTCTTGTTCACCACACTCCCACACACCTCTACGCGAGATCAATCCAACTACCCTCCAACTCAATCGCTGAGGCTTTTTTCGTCATTTGCACAATGCATTGTGAATGGAGGCTAAGCAGCAACCCACAGCTTTGCTCGTCAGCCTACCAAAGATTGTCCATGTACAATGTCGATATACGACATACCAACAAACCAAAAAAATACGGGACGGCACCCCGACCTCCGCGATGCCGCCATGGCGTCGAAGCTGGGGAAATCTGCTTGGCATGGTTTGGAGAGGCCGGACTCCGCAGCGTCCCCTGTCTTGTCTCGCCTCGCTCGCCGATTGCTTGGCCGACGAGCACTTTTATAGCACAAACGGCAAACAGGCAGACAATCCCCCTCGCCGTCGGTGCCGTTGTCGGGTTCAACGAGATGCGGGCGTCGTAGCTGCGACCTATCTCAGTGTGCAAGTCCAGAACAGCCAGAGTGAGGATAAATATGATGTGACAAGACGACATATGACACAATGAGGTATACCACCGCATTGTGTTACGGACCTACGGCTTCGACGTAGATATAACAGAGGGCCTTGGCCCCTTTTTCCCTGGCTCGCATTTTGTTTCTTCTCGTTCCTCATCGAAACGAATTTACCGCCAACAATAACCCACCATGTCGACCACAACCACCACCATCAACACCAAGACAGAGGGTGCCTCTGGGCCCCTCAAGCTGTCCCTCGCCTACGACGAGAAGCTTCACGAGGAGGTGAGTCCATGACACCGTGAAGACGAAAACGGCATCTTCCATCCGGCGAGCCTTTGTCTCCTTTACTCACACGGCACCCCCCGTCCCCAGTACAAGTACGCTGCCTATCTCCCGGTCTACGACGAAAAGACGACTTTCCCGCCCCTCAAGCCGTTTGCCTTCCACGACCGCGGCCTCGTCGCCAACAAGGCCAAGCCCAACCTGCTGCCCACCGACCCGGCCGCCGGCGTCACCGCCACCCGCCTCACCCCGGCCATTGGCACCGAGATCCGCGGCCTGCAGCTGTCCGCCCTGACGGACCTGCAAAAGGACGAGCTCGCCCTGCTCATTGCCGAGCGCGGCGTCGTCATCTTCCGCGACCAGGACTTCAAGGACGCCGGCGTCGAGGCCCAGAAGCAGTTTGCCAGCTATTTCGGCCCGCTGCACATCCATCCCGTCGGCGCGCACGTCAAGGACAGCCTGGAGATCCACAATATTTACCTCGGCCCGGACAACGAGTACCGCACGCGCCAGCGCGACAACCGCCTGACGACCACGGGCTACCACTCGGACGTGTCGTACGAGCACCAGCCACCCGGCATCACCATCCTGACGCTGCTGAGCGTCCCGCCCGTCGGCGGCGACACGGCCTGGGCGTCGGCGACGGCGGCGTACGAGCGGCTGTCGCCGCCGATCCGGACGCTGCTGGAGGGCCTGCGCGCCGAGCACAGCGGGTTCCCGCAGGCGGACAATGCGCGGCGCGACGGCAAGCACGTGCGGCGGGAGCCGGTCAAGTCGGAGCACCCGGTGGTGCGCGTGCACCCGGCCACGGGGCAGAAGTCGCTGTTTGTGAACCCGGGCTTCACGAAGCGCATCATCGGCCTCAAGAACGAGGAGTCGGACGCGCTCCTGCAGCTGCTGTTCAAGCACATTACCTTTGGCCAGGACTTCCAGGTGCGCGTCCGGTGGGAGGAGGGCACTGTGGCGCTGTGGGACAACCGGGTGACGACGCACACGGCGATTGCCGACTACAACGTGCACAACCCGCAGGAGGGTCTGCGCCATGGCGTGCGGCTGACGACGCAGGCCGACAAGCCAACCGGCGTGCACGGACTGGAGTCGACGTGGTAGATTTGTAGCAGGTAGCAGAAGAACGAGGAGAAGCAATCAAATATTAATAAACGGACGATCAAGGCTATGCCACGTGGCCAGACGAAAAGTAATGAAGCAAACAAGCAAACAAATCAACAGGCAAACCAGTAGTAATACTAAACAACCAACAATCAACAGCAATCGCACAAACAGACTTTACCTACTTCCCCTTGCCTTTGCCCTTGCCGGTGTACTTGACCTCCAGCGCCGGGAACTCGTCCTCATGCAGCAGCGCCGCCAGCGCCGCGTCATTGTCGTACTGCTCCTGCAGGTCGCTTCCATGGACCATCTGTCCCAGGCCCGCAGTCTTGTCCTCTTCCTCCTGCAGGCTCAGCTGCAGGGCCATCTGGAAATCGTCGTCTTCGTTTTCGCCGACGACGTGGTGCTCTGGGAGCAGTGTCTGGGTCGTGGCCGGCCCGGCTGCTGAGGAGGCGCCGGCTGTCGAATAATGGCTACGACTGTCGTGTCCGTCGTAGCGGAAATCGTCGTCCGGCGACGACGACAGGGCAAACGGGGAAGACGAAGACCCAGGCGCTTTGCCCTTGCTCTTCGCTTTGCCCTTTCCCTTGCCTTTGCCTTTGGCCCTGCTCTCGTACATCGGCGGGCTCGGCGTCTGCGGCAGAGCCTGGAACGGATCCGACGTCGTAGTACCAGGGGCGATCGTCACACCAGCTGCATCGGGCCCATCGTCGTTGACTCCTTCCATCAGCGACAGGCGAATGGCGCGCTGGATCTGCAGCTCAAAGTCGTCTTCTTCGGCGACCAGCGTGGGCCCATTGCGGCCGCCGTGGCTGACGCGGCGGCTCGATGGCGAGCGAGCCGACGCGGCGCGCGTCGTGACACCGCTGCCGCTGCCGCTACTCACAGCACTCGTACCAGGAGGACTGCGCCCGGACATGCTCGGTTCAGACGTGACGGTGTCCACCGGGCCACCCCTAGCACTGACGGCCTCCTCGGATGAAAACGTCGTGGCTGAGGCCACAGACGACAATGACTCGGCCGAGTCGCCGGATTGAGACAGTGAGTGGAACTGCTGGTGGCGCTGCTCGTCGAGCGAAAACGTTTCTTGTGACAGAATCTCAGCGTACCGGATGGCTTCCTCGTCCGTCAGGCCGGCCAGACCGACGCCAAAGCGCTGCAGCAGGCGTGCGCGATGGCGCTCGTCGCTCTCCTGCTCACGACGCAGCTCGGCCGCCTCGGCGGCAATGTAGTCGGACACCTTTTCGCCCATGAGGCGGCGGTTGACGAGCTGGCCCTCAGCGTTGGTGTGGCGGAGGCGGCGGCCCTTTTTGCGGCTGGCGTTGCGGATGGCAGAACTGTACGACCAGAAGCGGATGAGGGTGCCGACGGCCAAGACGCCGCGCAACACGGTCGGGTCCGGGTCCAGAAAGATGGCACCGACCGAGGCAAACATGGCGGGCGTGAGCTGGGCGCGCAGGTGCGTCAGGTGGCGCGGGATGCGGCCGGACGACGGCGCGTTGAGCGTGCGAACGGGGCCGTTTGTGGACGTGAGAGGATCCCAGGCCTGGACGAGACTGTCGCTGCCGCCGTGAACGAGGTACAGGGCCGAGACGGCCAGACTGGTGATGGCAGGTGAGTCGGTGCGGATGATGCGCAATGGCCAGACGATGTTTTCTTTCGTGTTTTCGGCGACAAACGTGGAATCGGTCGAGAGCAACGAAGACGACACCGCCTCGCGCAGGTTCCACACGATGACAGCACCAGTTTTGGTACCGACGGCCAGCCAGCGTGAACGCCGACCAGGAATCTCGCCAATCGTCGTCGGTACACCGTCGGACTGCTGCTGGAGAAGGTTGTCCTCAAACGGTGCAACAACCGAGTACAAGCTCAAGTCAATGGCACTGCAGGTAATCTCGGCATCAACCGTAGACTTGCTGCTGTTGCTACCCTTGAGAGAAAAGGTAGTCATTTGCCAGCCGACCGTCGCAGACGCAACGTTGGTCAGGCGCGGCGTCCACTCGCCACCGGGAAGACTAGCCACGACAGGCGTACCGGTGGCTGCACCGGCACGGGACGGCGGCGTCGGTGTTGGGGATGTGGGCGTGGGCGTGTTTTGGCCCGAGCTAAAGATGGAGAGCGCAGGTGACGGTTCAGGCGGAACGGTGCCCGACGACACAGGGGACAAGGGCGTGGCCGGCGTCGCAGGATCGGACGAAGCGGCCGGTGCAGCGGCAGCGGCAGCGGCAGCCGTGACAAGTCTTGTATAGCGCGTCACCTTGGCGGGTTGTGGACTGCGCTGGCCCTTTTGTTCGGCACCGCTGCGAACCACCACTATGTTCTCTGCTGTACTCGCGCTGCTGCTGCCGTTGCTGCCGCCTGCAAAATCGACTTGCAGCTGCAGCCGCATGTCCCAGGTGTCGTACACGGCGCGGAAGTGCTCTGGCATGAGGGCAAAGTACCGCTCGATCTCGCGGGCCTCGGCCACGCGCTGCTCCTGGACAAGGCCCACGGAGTCGGGCGACAGATGCGGGGACGACGAGGCGGCAATGCGGAGCGACTCGACCTTGTCGTCAAACCAGTCCGATGTCAGGGTGCGACGGGAGGCTTCCACAAGTTCCCAGCTGACCGAACGGCCGGCCTGCCAGGCCAGTTGGTCGTGCTCGACGGTGACGGTTGCCGCTGTAGAGGGCGCAGTCAGCACATCCTGCAAATAATACACTTCGCCCAGGGCGTTTAAGGCGACAGCCCAGACGCGGCGAGCGGCGCGGCGCTTTTCCGTGTAGGTGTCGTCAGCAGTGACAGCAATGATCGGGACGCCGGGGCTCACGACCCAGCGGGCCGTAAGATGCGAGTACGGGTAGCGAGAAGACGAGTTGGCCTTGTCGAGCGAGTAGGACGAAACGACACCGAGCGACGAGCCCGTCAAGAAGCCAACCATGGACTTGGTCACGGTCGGCACAGCCGTCGTCTTGGCGACCCACACGGCCGTGACGGCTTCCGCGGCTTCAGGGATGGTAGGAACCTCGGACAAGTCGGGCGCCGCGTCGACAGCGTTCAGCAGGGCCGGGAAATGGCGGCGGCGCGTCGCGTTGTCGAGGTAGGCCAGGCTGCGGTCGTTGGTGGCGCGTGTCAGGGCACGGCCTCCAGGAAAAGCCTCGCCGACAATGGCGCCGTACAGGTTGCTGACGTCCATGACATTCGGCATGGCGGCACGGCCGGGGCCCAGACCAAAGGGAGTGAGGCTGTGGTTGACATCCTCCAGCTGCGGCGCCATATACTCCTCGCGGTAGCCCCAGCCCTCGAGCTTGCCGAGAGAGGGGTTGCTGGAGGTGACGACGCCAAAGGCAGAAGCGCCGTGGACCACGCGCGGCTGCTTCTTCCCGGTGGCGGCAAAGGCGGCATGCAAGCGGTCGACCGTACCCGGCAGCTGCGAGTTGTAGGTGATGACAGCGGTGGCCTTTTTGTTGTGGGCCATGACAGCCTTGCTGCCCGGGCCCTCGCCCTTGACGCCAACGGACACGCCCGGTTTCCCGGACATGAGGCTGCGCAAGAGGCGGGTTCGAAGAAGGTATTCGCTGCGCCAGGAGGCAAGGGCAGTCAAGCGACCGAAGCGGCGAGCGTCCGCACGAGCGACGGCCATGCTGTGGTCCTCACCACCGCCGCTGCCGCCACCACCACCTCCACTACCATCAGAAGCCGCTGCCAGGAGAGCCGCCGTACCGTTCAAGGTGGCAGCTTCTTGGCCCGGGAAGAAGCGCGAAAAGGCCATGCGCCAGGCATGCGGAGTGGTGATGAGGGCGTAGAAGCGCTTGGAGACGAGCGCGACAGAGTCGTGGGCGCCGGGCTGCAGATACGAGAAGACGTGGGTCAGGACCTCGTTGGGAAAGTCGTTGAGGCTGCGGCCTGTCCCGAGAAGGGAGCCAGACGCGCCGGGGGCTTTCTTGACGACCTGGAACACGACGCGTTCGCGGCGCCAGGCAGCCGGCGTGCGGGCACGCTCATACTCGGCCACGCGTTGGCCGGCTATGGTCGACGCAGTCAATACTGACGTGGAAGCGGCCGACGGCGAGGCGGGCGACGAGGAGAAGGGCGAAGAAGTGCTGGCAGCGGCGGCTGTCTTCAGGCGGCGGAGCTTCTCGTCGAGTTTCTGGATATCGACGGAGCTATCGCCAGCCGCGACGGCTGAGACAGCTGTGCGTGTGACGGCGGCATCGCGCAGAGAGGCGTCCGGGCGGGGACGATCGAGGCCATGTTGGGCAAAGGACGTGGAGGACGAGGGGATGGATTGCAGCGCAGCGTGTTCTGAAGCTTCGGGGAGCCCGCGGTGCATAAAGAGGCTGGAGAGGGTGGTGGAGGGGAGACAGCAATGTTACAATCGTCGTCGCGAGCAGAGAGACGCGTCGACGAAGGAGATGGAGAGGGTATCGGACCGGAACGATCGGATAGAACGATTGGAGAGGATCAAAGACGATCGATTTGGAGGTCGCGTTGGAGAAGTGCTCTGCGTGTTGGCAAAGTCGAATCGTATCTGGATGAGAAGTCGAAATTGATTGATTGATGAACGTTTGTATCTCGTGAGAGAAGGGCGCGTAGCGAGGCAGTGAGGTTGTGTTCCACAGTCGGAAGCTGGGTCAAGGTCAGGTTGTGGTTTGTTGTCGTGATGATTTTTTGGGATTTTGGGGTGGAAATGAGAAAGGCCAATCCATTTTGCCCAATCTGGGCCGTGTTTGGCTTGTCTGGGTCGCGGCTTCCGTTCCCGTCCGCTATGTCCGATGGGCGTGTTTGAGGAAGGTGCGACTGTGTTGGAGCAAGAACAGCCTGCTTTTCCCGATCTGTATGCTTATTCAGCCGGTTTCAGCACTGTGTAGGGCCGCAGGCAATTCTTTAGGGGCGACTTTCAGACTTTTACAGCGGTGACCGTGGGCAGTGTTTCCGAGCACCAGTTGCTTCAGTGGGATAGACACAGGGGCAGTCTTATCTGAGGCAAGTCCGCAAAAGATGCTCCGGGGAAAGAGTCATCGTCAGTTGAGTCAGGCAGGAATACAGATGGGAGTCATGGGATAATTGTAGGCAATACACTCTATGGTGCTCGCTTGACGTTCATAATAGATAATTCGAAGAGGGAAAATGAAGATAAAGACAGAAGAAAATTACAGATGAATCGGCCTCATAATGCTTTGTTAAGAATCCAAAACATGATGCTCCAGGCCAATGAACGAGTTGTATCTTACACCTGATGAGCCTACGCTATGACTCGCTGTCCACCATCTTTGTTCTCGTGTCCTTGTTCGTCTCTAGTAGTAGTCCTGCCGCTGTCTTTGCATGCCCTGCGGACTCTGGGGCGTCTGGTACCGCGAGATAGGGATGCGCACCGACGTGGCCTGGCCGTCTGTGCGGACAGTCAGGGCTGATGCCTGGGGCGGCATGTAGCCCATGGGCGGGCGGTGCTGCTGCGGATATTTCTGTTGTTGATACTGTGGGAGTGGTTGTTGCGAGATCTGTTGCGAGATCTGTTGCGAGATCTGTTGCGAGATCTGTTGCGAGATCTGTTGCGAGGACTGCTGCGAGGACTGCTGCGGCTGCATCTGTTGCTGGCTGATGTGTCCGTACCCGACAGATTCGCCTGCCCCTGAAGACAGTCCGCCGCCAAGACTGGGCCGCCGTCCAACTGGCGTCTGCAGCAGACTCCGCGAGGCCGGGCCGTTGAGGGGTGCCCGCGTCGGCATCGCGCGGCCGAGCGTCATGGAGCTGTTGCTACTCGTCGCCCGAGGGCGGCCCTTTGCTGGCACCGGTGCGGCCGCAGGCGCCAATGGTTCTGGCGCTGCACCAGCGGGCATCGTGTCCTCCGACGACCCATCACGGTCCGAAATGGGCGGCGTCTGTGGCGTTTGCGGGGGCACAGGCCACTGCAGCAGCGACGGCGACAGGAGCACGCTGCTGGTGATGCTGCTGCCGCCGACGCTGCCGTAGCTCGAGCGGTTTTGGGAGGAGGCGGCGTCCGTGGCGCCCATTGCGTCCATCTCGTGCATGTCGTCGCCGTTCTCCATCGACGACCGTTGGCGTCCCGTTGCGGACAAGGGCGGTGGTGCGAGTGCTGCGGGCGACGCCAGGGGTTGCGTGGGTGTGCGGGACATGGGAGAGCGTTGCGTTGACGGGTGGCTATTCACTCCGTCGGCTGTGTCGACCGCCAGGCGGGGAACTGTCTGTGCCTGCGCTTGGACATGCTCCTTTGGCTGGACAGCCGTTGGCGGCGGTGTCGGCAGAAGAGAGCCGGTAGGGATGCTGTGGCCCGCTCCACCAACAGCACGGCCGCCACTGCCGCCGCGCCGTGTAGCAAAGGGCTGCGTTGGCACGGGCTGCAGACGCGGCACAGAATTGACGCTGCTGTTGCTGGTGCTGTGGCCGTAGGCGTGGATCCGGCCTGTGGCAGGAAAGGTGCTGTAGCTGCTGCGCGACGCCGAACGGCCTCGAGTAGCAGCGGCGCCGGCAGCGGCTGCAGTACCCGGAGTACCAGCGGTGCCCGATGAAACAGTTGAGGGTGTCAGATCACCGCTGTCAACCGAAGATGACACCGATCGAGGCGATCCCATGGCAGCAGGGGCCTGTGGATACCTCGGAGGCGGCAGATTTCCAGCCGAGAACGAGCCAGGAGCAGCGGCAATAGAACCGGCACCGGCACCGGCGCTTGCAGCCATGGCCATAGTCGGCTGCTTCTCGTTGAATACGCGGCCGGTTTGCGCCGACGGTGCACCCACGGCCATCATTTCGGACATGGCCGCACCACCGTAGCCACCGCCACTGTGACCAGCACTGGGACCAGCACTGGGACCAGCACTAGGTACAGCACTAAGCGGTGTCAACAGCGACTGCACCGAGCCCCGGCTGTTGAGCCGTTGGGCCCCGTCTGGTTTGCCGTCCACGCCGCCTCCGCTGCCAATGCCTCCGCCGTTGCGATTGCCACTGCACGCAGCAAACAATGGCCGCAGTGCCTTGGACCGGCGGAAACGGTAGAGCAGAGCAGCCGCGACCAACAGCAGTACAAAAGCCACAACGACACCAGCAATGACCCCAGCATGGTTGTTGCCGCTGGACGTAGAGGATGTATTACCGCCGCCACTTGACGAGATAGAAGAGCCTGTAGCCGACACAGCGTCCGACGTGGCGGCTGCACCGAATGCGCGACCACCGCCAGCTGTTGTCGGTGACGGCGTGCCATCGTCAATGGTCGTAGTCTGTCCGTTGGGCTCGACAGAGACCGAGATTCCATGGCTACCAGGTCCCGTGCTGGCTCCACCGGCTGCGTCGGCAGCGGCAGATGCCGTTGGAGCCGCGGTCTGGCTTGCATTGGCTCTGGCGGCACTCTCGTTGTTGTCGTTGTTGCCATTGTTACTACCTGTTCCAGAGGGCGTAGCTTGTGCAGTCGTAGCGGCCGCATTGTTTCCTGCTCCTGCATCTTGTGATGTTTGACTTCCAGAAGCACCGTTGCCATCATTGTTGTTCACCACCGATGTCGGTTGGCTATTGTTGTCGTTGTTGGCGGCCGGCGCTGACGACTGGGCGGGTGTTGCTACTGCTGCTTTGGACGTTGCCTCCGTCGTTGGTTCGGCCGCGGGTGTGGATTGGGCCTGGGGCGTTGTAGATGTGGCCTTGGCTGGCGTGGAGTGTGCTTTCTCTGGGGTTGTTGACGTCGTCGGTGTTGACTTCGCAGGCGCTGCCGATGATGCTGTCGTTTTGCCATTGCCATGTCCATTGTGGCCCCAGAACCCGTCGTTGCCATTGTCGTTTCCATTACCGCTTCCATGATCGTTTCCATTGTTATCACCCCGTCCGTTGTGGAAGAAGCCGCCCCCGTCGCCACGGCCTGCTCGCCGCTTCAGTTCTGCATTTTCCTTTTCATCCGTCTCGGCACCCGCGTGCAATGCATGTGGTGAGTGTTTGCAGATGGCATCCCACGATTCCTGCGCCACGCCTGCCAACAACCGCCAGATGGCCTCGCCGCCGGTTGGGCTGTCAGCCACGGGGCCGTCACCCTGTTGTATGGCAACCATGGTTGGTGGTGAGAGGAGCAAAGATGGGGAAAATAAAGAGACAAAAAAAGAAGAGTAAAACAAAAGAAAAGAAAATGCCGTGTACTCGTGGACCTGTTTCTTGGGAATTCAAGGAAGCCCTCAGCACGGGACCAAACTCTCAACCAAGCTGGAAAGAAAAGAAATGTGAATAAGGAAAAGAAAGATGAAGAGTGAGTTCAGAAGCGAAGAGTATGGTGATCGAGTATGTTGACTTCTGTCCCTGTGTTGCTTATGTTCCTTCTGGCGTTGCTGTTGCCGATCGTCCGTCCACGCAAGCTCCAAGCTCCGACGTCAAGGTCGTTCAAAGATCGTCGGCCAAGGGCTTCTTGTCTCTGTTCACGCAATGGCTCCTTCTCCTCGTCGTGGCGAGTGTCCGAGTTGTAGCGAGCCAGCCGCTTTTTCTGCCCATTGTCCGGTAACAGAGTCAAAGTAATCGGTATGAAAACATTGGAGATAAGGACGAAGACGATGCACCGAAAGATGTATGTCGTATGTCAAGACGAATAAAGGAAGAGATCCATTCAGGATGAACAAGTCGAAAGAAAGCAACTGAGTCCACCAAGTAGAACTGAAGACAACAAGAATACAACATACAAGCAAGACATGCCAAGAATACAGAGCCAAGCTGGTGGAGAGCAGGCACAGCGACAGCAGTGACAAAAATGTGACGAAACAGTCGAAAGAGGGCAAGCGGTGGACAGGCCGTTTCAACGAACTGGGGCCAACAAGCGGAGCCACGAGCGACGAGAAGAGCTCGAGCTTTCGTTTCTACCCACCGTGTTAAGCGACACAGCCTTGTGTTGATTGTTTTGGGCTAACGCCGCCTTTTTTTACTTTATTTATTGCTTTGGTGCACCTTCGTCTGTCTCGTTTGGTCGATGGCGTCCTTCACCCCTATCCGTGCGCAGCCAATTGTAGCTTCTCCGGCCCTTTTCATTGCTCAGCTTTTCTCAGCTCTCAACGCGACGACGTGCCTCGCTTGTCGTTGACTGCCCATGCATTCGTGTTTACGGAGTGTTGGATGCAGGCGCACATAAGCAAAAGGTGCAGGACGACGCAGACGAAGCAGACGATGCAGACGGTGCAGGACAGCTGCCCACTTCTCATCAACCAAGGCCCCCGCGTCTTGCATTGACTCTCCATCTCCCATCCAAACCCGAAGAGAAAAAAGGAAACAAATAACGAAAAAAAAACTCTGACTGGCCTGCTTGTTGACACTCTGCCGTGACAACTCAAAGCACCCGTCGTCCGACTGTCTTAC